CCCTGGCCGCAGCCCGTGACCGACGAGCTACGTCCGCGCAAAGTAAGGTCGTTTCAATGTAAACATCAAGAACGTCATTTTAATTTAATACATAATTTCAATATCATTTCACTTCAACTCGCGGTAGTGAATTCACTTTTGAGAATTTGGCAAAGGAAAAAATACTAAATTAATCGCAAAAAGTCTAACGCAAAAAGAAAATAAGGAAAATCTTAAAAAACAAGAACAATCTTAAAAAGCAAGAAAAATCTTAGATAGCGTTTGTTCTTGCCCTTGACTCACAGTCAAATCGACATTAATATTCGTGGTTAGGTTTTGCTTTTTGATATTTGAGAAAGTTTCTGGATCCGGTGTTCTCTTTTTCTCTTTTTGATAATGTATTTATCCATGGTGCGGGCATAAAAATCTTCAAGTAGTCCCTGGGTTTCAGCAATTTCTTACACACACACACACCGATATTCACTTGGAGGAGAAGGGGGATTTCGAACTAGAAGACGGCAGTACGGCACGGACAGTGTACGGAATGTAGTATGAGAATTGAGAAGGTTAGGTAGGCAAGAGGGGAAGAGGTGGAGGGGATGTTGTACAAGAGTTGGGTAAACATTGCTGTACACGCGGAGAAAAAAACCTATGTATATACATGAGGTACGAAATGCAGTGAAACGTATCCTAGCCAAATACACTCGGCGCGCTTCGCCGACTTTCGGCTTGTAGACTTTCGATTCGGGCATATTTGTAGTTTCGTAGTTTTGACAAAACCTGGCATATTTTCTACAAAAGAAAAAAATTCCCTTAAATTCTGAATTATTTTCCGCCAGGAGACCAATTAAAATCCTAATTGTTGCAAAATGATTTAAAATTCATGTCGCTTTTACCATTTTTTTATATCCTGTATCCTGGGTGTGGAATCCCACACCCAGAGGAGCTCTAGGTGTGGGACTCGCCACACCCGCCCCACAGAAGTTTCCGGCCTTGGATATACCGCCAGTGCATTCCGTCAGTAACACCGGTATTATTACGAAAAATTTCGAAATTTCGAGCGAGCATATCATGCGAAGAATAATCATGCGATGAAAAGCATTGAGGAAATAGTGGAAAGCGTACCGAAATCTTATCGTAAGCATGCACACTTACTGATGAAAGATTTGATTCGAAATGCTGTGCCTGATAGAATTAGAAATTTATGAAATTTAATGTACACGTTCCTTACATTTAAGTAACTACTGTAATTTAATTTTCAGTTAAATCATTCATTACTTTTAATTTCATTCATAACCACAAGCTCCATTTATATATAAAGGAAGCTCGCGGTTACATATCTAATAGTGTACTATATAATAATTATAATCTTTCATGTACTTTTAATAAAATTTTATGAAAAGTACATTAAATTTCATAAATTTTCATGAAAAATACATTAAATTTTATGTGCAGGGTGTTACAGATTCATACTAGGCAGTACGACGGGGTGCGCGGCAAACTTTGCATGGCCAAGCGTGGTTTAATAGACAATGATAGTGACTTTATACATTATAAAGTTTATACTACAAAGTTTTATTATTTATATTATAAAGTTTATGTTATAAAGTCACTGTCATTGTCTATTAAATCACGCTTGGCCATGCAAAGTTTGCTGCGCAACCCGTCGTACTGCCTAGTATGTATCTGTAACATCCTGTATATGTACACAAATATACTTTTTAATTATAAATACTTTAAATTTGATGTAATATCATGAAATTAATTTCAAATTGTGTAACTTAAAATGTAATGAAATTTAAGAACATTTCTAACAGTGTAATTATATTTAATACATTGTGCATAAGTTATATACACATATGTAATGTTATATATATCCAGATATATATACGAGGTGTGATCAAAAAGTAAGGTGACTTTTCATTTTTATAAAAAAATATTCATTTATTCATCCAAAATTATGTTATCCCCTTCAAAATAATCCCCCTCTGATACAATGCACTTGTGCCAGCGCTTTTTCCAGTCGTCAAAACACTTCTGAAATGCACTTTTGGGTATTGCCTTGAGCTCCTCCAGCGATGCAGCCTTAATCTCCTCAATCGTCGCAAATCTTCGTCCTTTCATGGGCCTTTTCAATTTTGGGAAGAGGAAAAAGTCGCAGGGGGCCAAGTCTGGTGAATACGGTGGTTGAGGCATGATGACAGTATTGTTTTTGGCCAAAAAACTACTCACTAGTAACGACGTGTGCGCAGTTGCATTATCATGGTGCAGAATCCATGAATTTTCTTTCCACACTTCCGGACGTTTTTTTCTTATTGACTCACGCAAATGTCGCATAACCTCAAGGTAATACTCCTTGTTTACCGTACGACCTTATGGTAGGAATTCTTGATGCACAACGTCATGGTAATCAAAGAAAACTGTGAGCAAAACTTTCACATTCGCACGAACTTGGCGTGCCTTTTTCGGTCTTGGCTCTCCTGGGCTCTTCTACTGGGATGATTGGGCTTTGGTTTCGACGTCATAACCATATACCCATGTTTCGTCACCAGTTATAACCCTTTTGAGCAGATCAGGATCATCATTGACGTCGTTCAACATGTCTTGGGCGATGTTCATGCGACGCTGCTTCTGATCAAAATTAAACAGTTTTGGAACGAATTTCGCTGACACACGTGTCATACCCAAAACGTCCGTTAAAATTGATTGGCATGAGCCAAACGATATGTTAAGATCATCAGCTATTTCTCTAATCGTGATTCGACGATTTTTCAACACAATTTCTTTCACAATTTCTTCCTGAACATTTTCGTCGGTTTTTGACGTGCTGGGGCGTCCAGAGCGAGGTTCATAGTTAACATTTTCTCGGCCCTCTTGGAATAACTTATACCATTTATAAACATTTTTTTGCTCAAAGTTGACTCACCGTACGCCACTGTCAACATTTCAAGAGTTTTTGAACACTTAATACCATTTTTTACACAAAAATTAATACAAACTCTCTGCTCCATTATTTTCAACAGCAAAAAATCGCCGAGCACGCAAACACGAGTCTAACCTTTATGCCTTTCACATAAAAACAACACATGCTATATCAAAACTGTGAACATATAATCGTGACGAGTGTACCAACACAACAAAAAAAATTTTTGAAATTAGAGTGTACAGAGCGCGCAAAATTCAAAAAGTCATCTTACTTTTTGATCACACCTCGTATATATATAAACACACACAACTCAAAAAGACATTAGACATTAACATTTTACATATTTTGATTCTGAATGATTAACGAATTGATTTAATTCATTATTCTGTGCATAAAAATATTAAAGTACAACTGTTAAAAATAGTTCATGAAACATTTATACCTGAATAAAGTGTAATAAACTATTAATATTTTCACAAGTTTATCTTAATACTTTTGCATGCAGATTAGGAAGATCATTTCAAATTAAATAACTTTTTTCAAAATTTATTTTATATTTAATGTGATTACCCTTCAAAAATAATTAAGGGACGTGATAGATTAAATTAGAACTCTGATGTGTATGCATACACACACACGCACGCACAAACACGCGCGCGCGTGAATATATTACAGTTATATACAGGGTGTCCCACAACTCTCCTGACAAATATCATGGATAGGTAGAGCGGATTAAACTGAGACGGAACGTCTTCTACCATTTTTCAATTTTCGCAATAGTTAACGAGATATTTATTTATAAAAATATCCAAATTCGCCCGGCCCACTGCCAAATCCAAGCGCGCGGCTTGATAGGATCGCCGCGCGCGCTCGCCGTCGCTAGGCACGCGTTGTTTATAAGAAGCAGCAATGGTCGTCGCCAGACATGAGTCGCGAATAACGTCGAATTTCCAGCTATAATTATTCTTTGAGCTATGATCATTCTCTGTTCATATCAAAACGAAATCTTCGTACGAAAAATTTATTTTTGCATGCACGTATGTTCGGAAACATATTAGAAATTAATATCTCAGTTACGAAAATTAGGAAAATTAAGAACTCTTTCCAAGAACACAGTTTAGTTCGCTCTAAAGTGAACTTTCGTCACGCTAGTCTCCGCGTTTTAAATTGTGAATTATTTCCTGAATATTTGTATCATAACAAAATTATTTACGACATAGAAAAATTGTTTGCGTGCATTTTCTGTGTGCGTGAACGTACGCACAGAAAAATAGCAATTCTACAACAAAGTCAAAGCAGTTACTTAATATCTCTCTTCTTTTAGGAAGTAATCTTTAACAAAGAATATTTAT